TGAGACAGGATCTCCCTGTAGTCCAAGCTGGCCTGGAACTCACTATGTAGACCAGGCTGGCCTCGATCTCACAGAGATCCACCTACCTTTGCTTCCTGAGCACTGAGATTAAAGGTGTGCACCACCATGCCTAGCCCAAATTTTGTTTTAAACAAACACCTATAGCTCCAGTATTCTGGTCACTCACCAGGGACTCCTGCGGGTACAGTGGACCTCTCTGAGAGATACATTTCTGGAAACTTGTCCCATGAACCACACTCCAGAGCATGAAACATTCAATTTGCTGAGATCTGGCCTCTCTTTTCTGAACTTAGGGAAAGGTTTGGAGCTTCAGAGATTTTTTGTTGTTGTTGGCAGGTTGCCTGATCCCAAGCTATAGAATGTAAGTGTAAGCATAAAACAGCATGAAGAAGAAAAGACAGGGCCACAGAGTGCTGGTAAGCCCTCTCCACACAGGTGAGGAGGCAAGCCTCCAGAAATGATTATGAGTGTGCTTTCTCTGTCCTGTGCTGTCCTAGGAAAGATGAAATTTTGATCTAAAGGAACAACTGGCCAGTAGAGTGGTGGCCTCTTTGGGAGTCACAAAGCACCATAAAGAAGGCAGAGACCAGCTTGCTGCTTGGGTGGGTCCACTGGCCTGATGATACCTACATCATGATGAGTATTGGCATGATAGCATTCCAGCCCAGTGCAGCTGTATGTATTAAATATGTACGCACCCACGGCTTATCCTCAAAGCCTTCCATCTTCTATCATTCCAACCTATATCCCATATTAAGCAGTGGAACCCTTTATAGGGAAATGGGAAGAACAGATTCATGTTTATAGATGGCCATTCTTTGGCCTTGCCTTTTCTCTAAACTTAGCAATCCCAGTTAGCATTAATAACAACCTTCAGTGCCAGTGAGCACTGGAAATGACAGCCATCAAGGTGTTGCTTAGAGATGAAGGTATTCTAGCTAAACCCAACCTCATATACCAGGTGAAATGTTGAGATTATAGCAATCAGCTCATATCCCACAGTCCTAAAGGCCTGATCTTGTAAAACACAGAAGCTGGGCGGGGGAGCAGGGATGTGGAGGAAGGAAGGAAGGGAGGGAGGGAGGGATATAGATAAATTGAGTGGCAAGCCTTTGTTCCTTGGAGCAAGTTTGCTGTAATATTTAAGAATCTTTTTTATGCTTTCTCTTAAAAAGTTAAAAAAAATAATAGAAAACTCTTTCTGTGAAGGTTCATTTGGCATAAGAGTATGGCCCATCCCACTCCTTTTAAAGAGCCTTATACCTAAGTACTTAATCCTGAGGCAGAGTTACATTGGGTCTCTTGGTGGAGGAGTATCCACCCCATGATGGTTTGAGTGAGAATATTCCCATAGGCTACAAGGATTTTAACATTTTGTCCCAAGTGGTGGCTCTGTTTTGGGAGGCTTAGGCGGTATGGCCTTTCTGGAGGAAGCACATTGCTGGGGTGAGCTTTAGCCTTGCCCGCTTCCATTGGAGAGAGGGTATGCCCTTGAAGGGGATCTATAGGATACTCTCTCTCTCTTCCTCTCTCTCTCTCTCTCTCTCTCTCTCTCTCTCTCTCTCTCTCTCTCTCTCTCTCTCTCTCCTCCACCCCCCCATTCCTGTGCCTGCTTCAAGATGTAAGAGCTCAGTTTTCTGCTCTAGCTTCCTCCTGTCACCTCCTTTCCTGCCTGCCACATAATGATGGACTCTTATCCCCTGGAACTGTAAACCCAATAAACTCTTCCTTATATAAGTTGCCTTGGTCATGGTGTTTTGGCACAGGAACAGAAAAGTAACTAATACACACTCTAAATATACGAATGAGCACATTTCTAAACATACATTTCTGAAGTTACACAGGAGAATACAGATGGCAAGACCTTCCCTATTCTTCACCTCTAAAAAGCAGTGCGGGGTACAGGAGGTGCTTGCTTGGATGGAGATAATTAATCAGAAGGTGTGTGGAAACCTGGTATATGCTTTTGCTTGTGTGCTGGTTTGAATCAGAATGTCCCCCGTAGGCTCCAAGTATTTGGACATTTTGTCCCCAGTTAGTGGTGCTGTTTTGGGAGATCTTAGAAAGTGTGGCCATGCTGGTAGAAACATGTCACTGGGGGCGGGCTTAGAGAGTTCTTAAGCCTTGCTGGATCTTGAGTCGCTCTCTTGCTTCCTGTGCCCACTTGACAATGTAAGATCTTAGCTTCCTCTCCTGCTCTATCCAGCTCCTGCCACCATGCCTCCCCACCATGATGGACTGTAATTCCTCTGGAATCTTAAGCTCAAATAAACTCTTCCTTCTATAAGTTGCCTTGGTCAGTGTTTCTACCACAGCAACAGAAAAGTAACTAATACAGAAAAGTGACTAATACTGGGCTTACCTACATGCAGGCAATACACTCATACACATAAAATAAAAACAATAAATAAAATATTTTTTTAAAAAGAAAAGTGACTAATACAGTAATTGGTACCAGAGAGTGGGCTGCTGGCTGTGAAGAACCTGACCATGTGGGGTTTGGGAAGAAGTGTGGAAGATTTTGGAAGTTTGAGCTAGAAAAGTGGTTGATTGCTATAAGCAGAGTTTAACAGGCCATTCTAGTAGGTGCCTGGAAGAAAGTAGTACTGACAACAATGTAGTTCCAGAAGGAAATAAGGATATGAGAACTTAGCTTCCACTACCCCCCCAGCCTCGTCTGCTGCCATGCCTCCCCACCATGATGGACTCTTGCCCCTTTGGAATCATAATCTAAATAAATGCTTTTATTTTTTAAATATTTTATTTATTATATGTATGCATGTATTGGCTGAATGTAGATAAGTGCACACATGTCATGCAGTGGCCACAGAAGACAGAAGAGGCTGTTGGATACCCTGGAACTGAAGTTACTGACCGTTGTTAGCTGCCATGTGGGTGCTGGGATTTGAACCCGGGTCTTCTGCAAGAACAGCCAGTGTTCTTAACCACTGATCCATCTCTCCAGCCCATAAACTCTTCCTTTTATAAGTTCCCTTGGTCATGGTGTTTCTATCACAGCAACAGAAACATGACTAATACAGCATGTGAGGAAGAATTATTACTGAATTCCTCCCACTCTCAGTAGACGTTTGGGTGTTACTGCCCATAGAGTAGACTGGATCTGTTGCACTGGATTCCCAGGGCTGTGGAACTCTACCACAGACCTTGTGGTGGCTTTGAGCTATAGGGCTGCTCTCCAATCCTAATGTCCCTGACAATCTGATAGTATGATAAGGTCTATCTTCAGTCTTCACAGTGGAAGCCCCTTCATTTCAAGGGCTGGGACAGTCTTCTGGGAGGATGCTTTCTGACCAAGAAATGGGATCTTAGGAGGGTTTTGCTGCGGTTCTCAGAGAATCTCAAAAAGGAAAGTTTCCAAACTCCCTTACCCTTTTCAAGTATTTGCATTCACATCTCTGTCTCTGTGAAAGAGAGTGGGTTTGTCATGCCCAAGGCAGCTTAGATTCCAGCAAAAACAATCATATGTTCAGAGGGGCTCAGCATCTGTGTGGAAACTTGGAAGGTACCAGCTTCAATCCAGCTGGGTTCAGGTAAAAAGACCACATGTGGAATATTTGTTTGGTTCCAAATTACACATTGAAATAGGATGTCAGAAGTATAGTCACAGAGACCATGCCTCCTGGACAGCTCTTGAAACTACATAATACAAAGAATGACTGCGGCCAACTGAAACCTTAGATGTGGTTTGGCATATCCAAAAGATTTTATAGGACCCCCCAAGGGATGCTTTAAATGAGTTTTTAAAAGGTAAAAAATGGAACATCTGAATTACTTAAGAGAGCAGAATTCATTAAATAAATTTGGCTGGGTGGCATGAAGACTTTGTGAAATGGGAGCTCTGTGCAGATGGAAGGTACTGTGTTGAGAAGGAGGGCGTACCTGAGCAGGACATGGAAGAGCTGAGGCTGGAGAGGAAGGAGCTGAGAGGAGCTAGCACACAGGAACAGGGGAAGCTGTGAGCTTTGAGACACCTCATGTCTCAGTTCTGTTTTTGTGAGACTTGAGAGCAAAAAAAAAAAAATTTGATCTTCAGTTTCTTTGTTTGTAGAATGACTATAATGTCTACACCAATGAACTGCTTATGCAAGTGAAGAAAATGTTAGCAATGATGCTCAGGGTGTTATAAATGTAAAATTAGCAAGTTGTGCTGCTACTGCCTTTATTTAAATGTGATAATCATAGGGAAACAATGTATGATTCCTCTGAGTTCCTCTGTCTTTTCTTGTTATGGTGGCCCCATCCTATCAAAGTTCCTGTGGAGTCTTCTTACATTCTTGATGTTGAAGTGTCTAGAGTTTTCATCTTATCACTGTCCAGAGCATTCTTAGAAAATGGACAATATCCTTTTTACTGCTCCTTGTAATCAAGAGCAATCTTTCCTATATCTTAGTTCTTTTCACGTTTGTTTTCTTCCATGATCACTGGCTATGCAATATGTTGGCATACTTAACATCCTTTTAAAGCTTTTCTCCTGCTAGGAAGTGCTAAACACTGTACTTGGTAAACAGCTGGTAATCAAAATTCGAAATACTCATGAGGACACATCTTTTACTAATGGGATTCTATAAACCATAGCCAAAAGCCGCTTAGGAAAGGGAAGCGTTTATTTGGTTCACAATTCCAGGTCACAGTCCATTATTGGAAGCCAAGACAGGAACTTAGAGAATCACATCCATAGTCAAGAAAAGAAAGAGAACGAATGTGTGGATCCTTGCTTGCTTGTTCTCTAGTCCACTCTTATACAGCCCAGGACCACCTACCTAGGGAAGAATGTCACCCACAGTGAGCTGGGTCACCCAACAATCAAGCTAACCCCCACAGACATGCCTACAGACCAACCCAATCTAGATAATGCCTCAGTTCCCATCCCTGGTGATTCTAGGTTGTGACAAGTTGTCATTTAAACCAGTACAATGAGGAATCTTAAAGCCCACTGAGACTCCTTTCTTCCACCCCAGGAAAGAGCAGAGCTACGTGCAGAAGCGCTGGCAGGATGTGCGTGTGGGAGACTTCGTCCAGATGCAACGCAATGAGATCATCCCAGCAGACATCCTTCTCCTCTTCTCCTCAGATCCCAGTGGGGTCTGCCACCTGGAAACTGCCAACTTGGATGGAGAGACGAACCTCAAGCAGCGGTGTGTTGTGAAGGGCTTCTCACAGCAGGTAAGCGACTTCCTCAGGTCATCCTTAGTGAGATCAGAGACAAGAAGCAAGCTAATGTTCCTGGAAAGTTTAACTTAAACTGGCAAGTAGAGATGGGAAATTAGAAGATGATTCTTTGGAAAGTCTTATATATATTAATCTCTTGAGAATTTCATACAATGTATTTTGATCAAGCTTCATCCCCAATCCCTTCCCTTAACTCCTCCCAGATATACCCCCACCTCCCTACCACCAAATTTGTGTCCTCTTATTTTGTTTTTATTCATAACCCATCAACTCCAATTTGTGTTGTCCATGTACATATGGGTGTGGGGCCATCCAGTGGAGTGTGGTTAACATATCAGGGGCCACACTCTTAGAGGAAAACTGACTCTCCCTCTCCCAGAAGCCATCAATTGTGCATAGATCCTCAGTTGTGGGTAGAGGTTCATGAATCTCTTCCCAATCCATCCTGGCTTGATCTTTTGCAGATCTTATATAAACAGCCACAGGTGCTGTGAGTTCATGAGTACAGTAGTCCTCTCATGTCCAGAAGTCCTGTTTCACCCCAGTCTCCCTGACCTCTGGCTCTTACAGTCTTGACACTCGCTGTCCCAAGATGGTCCCCAAGCCTTGGGGAGGGGATTTGATGGAGAGTGAACCATTTGTGGTTCAGCACCACAATCACATACTTTTTGTACTTTGACCAGTTACAAGTTTCTGCATTAAATACCATCCACTGCACAAAAAAAAAAAAAAATTCTGATAAAGTCTGAGTCCTGTGCTAATCTATGGGCAAAGAGACAGGAATTTAGAGGTCAATATGACGCTGTGTCCATTTAACAAAATAGTATTCATAGGCTTACCCCTGAGGCTTATGAGCTCCCCAACCCTGGGTTCTTGGCCAGATTTGAAGTGCTGGCCATATGTTTCCTCCTGTGGAGAAGGCCTTACATCCAATCAGAAAGTTGTGCCACTATAGCATTTATGCCACTATAGTCCATGGGCATTTCATGCCAGTCATTATTGCAGTTCACAAGGTTCACATCTGGCCACGACTGCTGATGGTTTTTTCCTCCCAGCAGCCTGCATAGTGCCTTCCAGTGCTATGAAAGCTAGCCAACAGGAAGGAAGTTTCCTGATCAGTACTGACATGATTTGTCCATGTCCTGTGACCAATGTGTATAGTGTCTTCAGCAATAGGATCTTACATCAAGTTCTGGTGGGAAGCCAAGAGCAATGGCGATAGCCTATGTTGTTTTGGGGGTCTCTAGGATACCTCTGAGCAATAGCTTGAGGGTAGCTAGCCCACCCCAGCACTGAGCTTTCTGTTTGGTGACCTATGACTTCTGGAATGACCATAATCCCCTGTGCAGGGAAACTCCAATTAAACTCTTTTATATGAATGTAAATATACATATACATGAAGTTTATAAAACAGTAGCTCTCCATATGACTTTTTCAAACATCCTTAGATGTTAGAGTTAGCTAGCCCTCCCCCAATTCCCTCCTCTGCCCCACCTCTCCCCACTTAAACCTCCCCATTAATGGCTTTCCCACATCATGTCTTTAGAAATTCTTAATCCTCCCAGCAACCCTCTGGGTAGTTATCATGTGCATATCACAGATGAGGAAACCAAAGCTGAGAAAAATTTGTGATTTGCTGAAGACTTGAGCTCCTAAGTAAAGGCTCACTCTGTTCAACTGAATAAGCTTCCTTGTCTTCAAAACCAAGTCTCACAGCTGCTCAGTCAGTGAAACTCACCCTCTCTTCTGTGCTCAGCAGCTCATTCTGCCCAAATAACTCTGGACATGAATCTCTAATATTCCTTTAGCCCCTCATTAATTGCAGCAAGATAATAGTAGTGTGTGTGTGTGTGTGTGTGTGTGTGTGTGTGTGTGTGTGTGATGTGCCTGTGTGTCTGTGTTCATGTGGGTACATGTTTATGCAGGTGCGTGGATGGGTGTGTGTACCAGTATAAGTGTGCCTGTGGAAACTAGATGTCAATATCAGGTGTGGTTCCTTAAAAGCCATCTACCTTGTTAATTGGAACTGGGTCTCTCATTGGTCTGACTCTTGGTGAGTAGGCTAGGCTAGCTGGCCAACAACCCCTGGAGGTCCACCTATCTCTGTCTCCCCAGTGCTGGGATTACAAGCACATACCATGCTCAGCTTATTTTTTAGCATGGGCTTTTGGGATCATGTCCATGCTTACACAGCAAGCACTTAACAGACTGAGCTATCTCCCAGCCCCCTGTTTTTCTCTTTTTGCATGTCTTGTTGACCGCTCCAACCTTCTCTGAAGTCAGAGATCCATAATTGACACTTTAATTAACTCTTCACACTTAAGAACACACTTAAGTGGATATCATAGGGAAAGCAGTATACTTTAGTGGTTAGCAGCTCAAATTCCAAGTTCTGACAGAGCTGGGCTTAAACTCTAATTCCCACCATGTGTAAAATGTCTCATTTTATACAAGTTATCTGCCTCCCACACCTTGGTTCCTTTATTTGGGGGAAAAATAGAGAAAAATAATATTTCTTCATAGGATAACTCTAAAGGCTAAATGATATATACCAGAATTATTTAGCATGAATAGCCCATTGAAGGAGGCTGGGGAACCATTGCCATTGATTCCAATGGCTTTCCTAAATAATGTGTATTGACCAGTTGAGGCTGGGTGTGATATTCTGGTTTTCAGTTAAAAATCTTCCTTATGAGGGTTGATTTCCAACCTGGTACTTTTCTCTACTGATGGCAAATAAAATGCTTTGCATTACTTTTCCCTCTGCCAGCTTTGGGGTGAGAGAAATTGAATGAGTCGGGAGATTTGGGAGGAAGAAGGCAAACGCTCCACTCCTCTGAGGTTCTCATGAGCTACAGTTCTGTTATCTAAATGATTTCTCAAGAGGAGACCATCCATCCTCCTGCTCCACAGCACCTGATGAGCGGTTCTCACAATCGTTCCTGTGTGTGATTGGTAGTCCTCCTGTCTGGTCTCTGCACCTGTGGATGGGAACGCTAATAACTGTCCCATAGCTTTGCTGTGAGGCTGAAATAAGAGGAAGTAAAAACAACCTGCAAGGCTTGGTGCCGCTACATTTCACAGTGGTCCCCATGGCAACTGGCCAGAAGCTATCTTGACCACACCATGGTCACTGCACTATTTCAATGACCACAACTCTCTGCCCCAGGCTCTGAGTCAATCATTGAGCTGGCTTGGCCTCTCACTCTCTTGCTTGTCCCTCCTGCAGTCACTGAATGGCTCCAGTGTTTACAAAGAGGCAGGGCAAGATCCAGTATAAGTTCACAAAGTCCTTCAAGATAGGCAGAAACAGTCAAGATCTGGACTAGGGCCCTGCGACCTGCTTTCTTGACCAGAGGCCTTTTTGATCAGTGCTTAAATAAGAACACATTACACACACACACACACACACACACACACACACACACACACACGTACGTGCATGGGTAAATATGTATGTGAGTGTACAAGCTGACACCTTAGTCTGGCTGTATGCAAGAATCTCTTAGATTTGCTCTTCTATTTCTTTTTAAGTTCTGTGAATATCAGACTTGCGTTTGCTTACAAAATTGTTTTAGCCTTTCTAACCTTGGCATCCTCATCCAATTTTGAATCCTTGTTCCTCTCTCTAATTTCAGTGCCACCACATTTCAACCACTGAGTTTTCTTTCTTTGGCCTCAGGCTTTAGGCTTGTTTCTTGCATATTAATCAAATGGTTTGGAATTTAACTGGAGTGAGACGAGGTGAAAGGGCCCTTCATGCTCAGTGCCATAACCTTCAGTTAATAAACATTTCAAACTCTAACCCTGAATCTTCACAGAGTACTTGGCATTAGAAACATCTATTTATAAATGAAAGGAGGTGATTTATTGAACTTGGTTTCCAGAGTTTTCTGTCCTTATCCTGATTTTCCCTTTTCTCAAGAGCATTTTTCAGTTCACTAATCACAGTAATGAAGTTGAGCCCATGGTAAGAGCTTTGCATGATTAACTCATCCTCACAACAGCCTAAGAGACAGACAACATCACTTCCCCCTGTTTACACATAGGAAACTGGGGCATGTACAAGGCATGCCATTCAGCCATGGTCACTGAGCTGTAGACTTGGAACCACAATTCAAACCCAAGTTTGTCCTAGTGTCTGGTAGCTCACCTTCCTGACCCTTTGGCTGTTACCTTGAGTTCACCCAGATCTACGTACTGGAAAGCACTTGTTTATCATTTACAGATTTCTTTCCATACGTAGGTGGCAGATTACAGGAAGAACCACAGACACAGAGTTAAGAAACTAAATCTCAGCCAACTATCTGGACAGAAGTTTTGTCTGCTCTCTGTTCCTTCGTTTCTTTCTTATACCTTCTCTGCAAAAAAGATTCCTGACTATAGACAGAGCTATTGGGTAACACTGTACTTCAGGGTTTCCTCAATGTGTTGAACAAAGGTGTGGATGAAAGTTCCCTAATGAGAGTGAACTGCCTTCCCTGGGCCTCATTGCATGCCGGTGCTTCTGAATGCATTGTCCTTCTGGTCTTTACCCTCTAAGGAGGAACTTACTCATCTCCTATGAAAGATGAAAATTCTAGGGAATAAGAAAGGCAGACCTCACTAAGTATCTCAGAAGATTTTGAACACATACAAATGTGGTTTGTTTAGAAACTTAGTGTCTTGAATAATGAGTATCAATAATTTTTGTTCATTTGTTTTTCCTCTAAATATCTACAGTTCATGAAACCTCTACCTTTCCAAAAGGATTTGACTAACCAGAGAGATTGCTAGAAGTTCCCACCCCACATAATATTTTCACTATCTGAGGGGTTGTGAGAGGTCAAATATGGCTTCCCTGGATTAGCATTTTTCGAGGTAGACTGCCCCCAACACTTGAAAAATACAGTTCACAGTCAAGTCAAGCGAGTGTGTAACGTATCAAGGTCCCTGAGAGCATCCGGAGTCAACAAGTCTGTTTACCATGAGCTCCTCAGACCTTATTTAACCAC